GTCCCGGAGAACTCGCGCTCTCGGTGGTCGCCACCGGCGGTCGGGATCTGGCCGAGGTAGGAGTTGCGGATGTACGTTTCGTGGCCGCCGTTGGCCGCGATGCCCGTGGTGTTGAAACGTGTCACGTAGCAATTGTCGATGGATGTTCGGAGGGAATTGGAGATTTGAATTCCTCCGCCTCGGAAGTTTGAGTCGAGAAGTAGGTCGCGTAGGGTTACAAACTCGTAGTTGTATTCGGAGTTATGGTTGGGGGAGTCGGCAGGGGAGAGGTCGATCAAGTAGCCGTTGTCCGGGAAGTTGTTGGCCGCCGTCAGAGATCCGCCGTGTATCTGTGGTGGTTAGTGGTAATAGCTGTGTTATGTTTATAAGGAGGAAAAATTTAAGATTTAGTTCTGTAATTGATACTTAATTTTTTTTGGTACAAACTTAAAAGTCAAGTTTTTTTTGCAGTTAGTTAGTTAGAGGGTGTTTTGTAAAATCGACGATTTATTTGCTCGAAAATTCAAAACATTGTATGTACGTTGGGATAAATATCACATAAACTTGAATCGAACCAAACTTACCACGAAGTTCCCCTTCCCGGTAACGGGTAATCGTATGGGACGAGTGATCAAGTAATTGCCACCGTCGAGATCGACTCTGGCCCCACCGAGATTTACAATGCCGTCCGTCAAGCGCCCGTTTGTGGGCCCGCCGAGTGCATCCGATACAGCTTTGAGAATTGCATCTGTGCTGTCTTGTTTACCGGTCGGGTCTGCACCGTACGATGTCACGTGGTACACAGCCGTTGACTGTAAATTAAATAGGATCATTATCAGACATAATTAGCATTTGAGTAAATTAATGATTTGTGTTTTAATACTCGTATAAGATTACTTTCGTACCGGTGATGCAACGTCTTTAAACGAGGTAAGCGCTTGCATTCGGTGCAGATGAGCCCGGGGAGGCGACGTTGGCTCGGTTTTGTAACCGTACACGATGAAGCTCGTTAGGATTGTCGATACGCTGAAGATTGAAAGAGTTGCTCTTGATATTTCCATCTTACTTTTGACTGTTGATTGAGGGAGATTTGATATTTGAGGCCTGTTTTATGTGTAAGTGAGAAAGAAAGAGATAGAGATAATAGACAGATAGAAAAAACAAGGAATTTTACAAACTTTGCTCGATCATGCGAATAACACCTGAGTATTGTTGCAATAAGCTCTCTTTTGATGTATGATTATAATATAGACTTGTCTATTTATAAAATTGATAAATTATACATCTGTTATCAAGAAAAGGATCTCAAAGATTGTGACAGTGTGTGAAAGGTATAATTTCCCTCTGAAATGAATTTTTTCTCCTTCAACAAATAGCCTTATGTGGATAAGTAAGGGCGTGATTGGATATAGGTACATCCAATCAAAATAAGGTTTTTTGGTTAATTATGATTAATTTTAAAAAATGTGGTATGATTAGATATTGGTGGAATTTTCAGTTAAATATTAAAATAATATTTAAAAAAATAATTAAAGTTGATTTGATGCAAAAGTACGAGATAGATGATGTGAAATGATAATTAGTTAAAATTATGTGAGTGAATAGATAGTAAGAATAATGAAGTTGAGTTATATTTTGAGTATAAATTGAGTTATTTTATATACAAGCACACCCTAAATCATGTGTTGGTCGGGTCTGACGGGTAGACAACCAAATATTTTAAAAGAATGTGTATATTTTCATATTAAAATGACACATTTTTTAAAAATAATATGAAGTAAAGTAATATTATTAAAAATGTATGAGGTGTCTATTTGCTTAAGTTTAAAATGAATCTTAATAGTACAATAATATATTGTTTTGAGATGTTGTAACTTTAAGTCGTCCTTTATGATGTGCTTTGACGCTTTAGATAGTCTCGAACGGCGGCGGATCCAGAAAATTTCACGAGTCAGGGCAAAAAATAGTTTGAATAAATTTTAACTATATTACACAAAGTACTTATATTAAAAATTAAATAAATCATTGAAATAATGAAATTGATGCTAAATTGATCCAAAAATATTGACTTGATGCTAAAAAATGAAATTGAGAATGAGGTGTGGTTATTTTATTTTTTATTTTTTTATTATTATTAAGAAATTTACAAAAATTATTTTACAATCCTTTTGCCTTCATTTTTCTGTAATAAGAAATAAAAAAGTCATTTTTAAATATAATTTATTAATTTAAGAAAAGCCTAAATGTCATCGTTTTTGTTATTGTTATTTTATAAAGATTTTCTTATGGATTATCTTCTTATAGATAAGTATAGAGTTTTTCTTTGTCAATTTCCAACGCTTTGTAATTCAATATGTTAATTACTAAAGATTCGAAATAGTCCATACAAATATTAATCTTTGTCCAGAACTTTCAAATTTAAACGTTTGGGTAACTTAAATTGTAAATATATTTTAAAAGTCAATAGCATTTGTATATATTATCATTTTTTATATATGATAGCTTAAATTAGTCATAGTTTGACAATATATAATCTCATATTCATATTTTATATGTAAATTAAAATAATTATAGCTATCTGATATCTATCAATAAAAATTTAAATATTTATCAATTATAATTGAAAAATAATAAATTTATCTATCAAGCTTATTATATGGCATAAGTACTAAAATGTTATAATGTAATATCCTCGAATCTGATCGGTGAGGTATATCAATTTAAATAAAAAATAATGTTATTTTGTAAAAAATATTTAAAATTTTTAAAATAAAAACTTGTATTTATATTTTTACACACTAAATATAAATTTTTTATTAGCACATATTAACTATGTAAGCACAAAAAATTGAGCCTAGGCTCGCCTATATTTGTGTCAGCCACTGTCCACTGGTTTCGAAAGACTTGCGGTTGAAGCAAATTAAGGCAGCATTAATTGCTCCTAATGCACAATAATTTTAGTGGTTAGTGAAAAGGACCAACTTTGATTAGAAGGTGGAGTAAAGCAAGGAAAAGCAGTTAAGGCAACCTTGAAATTTCAGATACAAGGATTGAAAACAAGGGCTGTAATTAAAATTAGCATGCGAGTCTCCTGAAGAAAAATAAAGCATTAAAGGGGCAAGCTTTTCAAGCCAAGAATATGTCAAAAAAAAATCAGAGGGTAGTTGTTCTTTTTTTCCTGAGGATTGAATTGATTAGTCAGACTTTTGGAAAATAATGAATGAATGAGATATGGAGGTGAGTAAATGCTGAATGGGGCAATAACTTTCTGTGTTCTTTAAACTTTCAAGTAGTTAAAAACTCTCAACTACTACCATTTTCAAAAGTGAATAAATGAAACCATTGAAGATATTACTACTTTTTTTAGTTGGCCTGTTAAATTGACGGTCTAAGTTAATGGTCAAGTTAAATGACCAAAATTAAAATTATACTGCTATGTCACCTGTTATATAACATGTCACGTGACCATCGTCAATTTTTATCATGTCAAGTTACTAGTTAATCTTAGGTGTAGTGATTAGTGGATCGAAATAGATGTAATTTATAATTTAGCGTGTCAAGATTGATGAGAGTTAATATGTGGTGTGTGTGCGTTGAAAATAAATTTGATGAGAGCAATTTAGTGTGTAATTTAGTAAAATGTAATCTAGAATACAATTTCGAGTGGGATGAATCAAAATTTCCCTAAAATATTTTATGGACTTATCTCATAATGAGCACAGAGCCCACTACTTATGCTCACATTGGTCTTACCTTTAAGTGGCCTTTATTGGCCCAACCTTTAAATTGTTTTACGAAACAGGTGAATGAATAAC